TATATCTATCAAATAGAAGCTGTAAGCAGCACTATCCCCTACTCAAACACTCCTGCTTTCCCTTCAAACACTTAATCAGTGGTGTCTAATTGGATTTCCAAGTGGAAACTGGTTTTGCTTTTCTCACTCTCTGATCTACACACTCCAGTGTCTTTAATATTTTATGAAAGATGTCTTCCAGTTAAATGAGGAAAGTGGGACGGGAATACTTATTATTTGCATTAAAATAAATAGCTTTTTAAAGTCTCTGTAGTACTTCATAGAAGCTGTTTCTCTCCACCGGTCTGCTCCACACATGCCTACACACCTATAAATAACGCATATAGACTCCCACAAAATGTAGTCTAGAGAACACATAAAAGATGCTTTCTGCCCTGCAGAGTTCCAGAAATAGATCAGCCCCAAATTCATCCAGACAGACAACATTGCTTTGACAAAAATAGCAGGGCCTTAACTCAGAAGGCTGGCTGCGAAAACGGCAGGTAAGGCAGTGTCAAAGAGACTGATCTTCAAATTGGGAAAACCCCTCCTCCATTATCTTGTGCTCATTATTAACTCTCCAGACCACTTTTCAAATGATCCCGTACAGTACAATGATGGCACTTTGGAAAAGCAAGACTGGAAGCAAATGTAAGCTCCTTCTTGTCTGATTTACATACAGTAGAGTCTTGCTTATCCAACATAAAAGGCCTGGCAAAATATTGGATAAGCAAAAATGTTGGATAATAAGGAGGGATTAAGGAAAAGCCTATTAAATGTCAAATTGAGTTGCTGTAAGTTTTTCAGGCTGTATGGCCATGTTCCAGAAGCATTCTCTCCTGATGTTTCATCTGCATCTATGGCAGGCATCCCCAGAGGTTGTGAGGTTGTGACCTGGCCATGTAACCTTCAACAACATGTAACCTTCAACAACAACAGTGATTCTGGCCATGTAACCTTCAACAACTCAAATGTCAAATTAAATTACAATTTTACAAATTAAGCACCAAAACATCATGTTTTACAACAAATTGACAGAAAAAGTAGTTCAATACACAGTAACATTATGTAGACATTACTATATTTATGAATTTAGCACCAAGAGATCGCAATGTATTGAAACAGCTGTGGATCTGGGTGAGAGGCAGACTGCGTTGGATAACACAGAATGTTGGATGAGCGAAGGTTGGATAAGTGAGACTCTACTGGACTTTTAACTAGAGCAACAGTCTCCAATCTTGGTCGGCAGGTATTGTTGCACAACAAATTCCAGATTCTTGACCATTTGCCATAATGGGTGGGACTTTTGGGGGTTGAATCCCAACAACATCTGAAGACACAACAATGGGAAGGAATGCACTAGAGCAGGCATGGGCAAACTTCAGCCCTCCAGGTGTTTTGGACTTCAACTCCCACAATTCCTAACTGCCTACCGGTTATTAGGAATTGAGGGAGTTGAAGTCCAAAACACCTGGAAGGCCAAAGTTTGCCCATGCCTGCATGTATGTATTCAAATACTGCAAATTAATAAATAAACAGATTCAGGAAACCCGAAAAAAGCCCAGTGCCCCTAGTGTATACAGCATTGACACACAACTTGTTCATGCATGGGCATGGTGCAGGCAGTGATTGAGCAAAATACACTGTTTGAGAGGACAGAGTATACCACATCAAGTAAACACACAGGGCTTAATCACACAAACCACTAGTCTATTAAGGCCACATTATTGTTGATAGTGGATACATACTGTGTTGTACATCTTTGATATTGTACTTCTCTTTATTATCACAATTGCGGCAATTCAGCATCTGTGGTCCCTCAATAGTACTTCCACACATCTTTTGAACTCCACCTTTCCCCACTCCAGCTGTACTATTATTATTAGCATAATTGTGCTGTTCCTACATTTAAAACTCCCCGAAAGGCATATAGAAATGTAAAATATAAAAGGCAAATAGACAGTTTGGGAATAGTGAGGACGGAGGGAAGAAGGGGTGAAAAGGAGAATCCCATCCTCTGACATCACTTTACAACTGGCACAGAAGCATAAGGGACCCATTGCACCAAGTAATTGAGTGCCCTTCCACACAGCCATATAACCTGGAATATCAAGGCAGAAAATCCGACAATATCTGCTTTGAACTGGGTTATTTGAGTCCACACTCAGATAATGTGGGATTTTCTGCCTTGATGTTCTGGGATATAGGGCTGTGTGGAAGGGCCCCCAGAATATCAAGGCAGATAATCCACAATATCTGCTTTGAACTGGGTTATCTTAGTCCACACTGCCATATAACCCAGTTCAAAGCAGATAATGTGGGATTTTATATAGCTGTGTGGAAGGGGCCTAAGTAAGTAAACCTTTATTTCTATCCCACCGTATCCCCCCATGGGGACTCAGGGCAGTTCGCAACATAAAAGGTAAACATTCAATACCATAAAACACAACAATAAATGAAAACAATTCAAAATAAACAAAACAAGTATTCAACAATAAAGGAGATCACAAGGCCAGTGATGGAAATGTTGGAGGTGATATCTACAATGCCAGTTTGCCTGCTTCATATGACAGAGTCCCCAAATAATAAGTGAAACACTTTGAATAACAAATACTATTGTTTTAAATGTTTTTAATCTTATTTATTTAATAATAATTCTTTTAATACTGTTTTAGTCAAGATGACAGTATGGTATTTGTTATCCAACTGCCTCCATGTACTTTTTAACTGACCGATATGTTAGTACTATTTTGTAAATGGTCATTGTACCTATTTAAGGTAAGTACCATAATCTTCATAGGAAGGAGGGAGCAAGTTTGTTTTCTGCTGCCCTAGAGACTAGGGGCCCTTCCACACAGCCCTATATCCCAGAATATCAAGGCAGAAAATCCCACAATATCTGCTTTGAACTGCGTTATCTGAGTCCACACTGTAAGTTTTTCAGGCTGTATGGACGTGGAACAATGGCTTCAAACTACAGGAAAGGAGATTCCACCTGAACATTAGGAAGAGCATCCTGACTGTGAGAACCATTCAACAGTGGAACTCTCTGCCCTGGAGTGTGGTGGAGGCTCCTTCTTTGGAAGCTTTTAAACAGAGGCTGAATGGCCATCTGTTGGGGGTGCTTTGAATGCGATTTTCCTGCTTCTTGGCAGGGGGTTGGACTGGATGGCCCACAGTGTCTCTTCCAATTCTATGAGTCTCTCCCTACACATCCACTAAACAATATTGCTGACTTGTTGTTGTTGTTATTGTTTTCTCACTTATCTGTACCTAGCAGTTCAGGATGACAACATAGTAGGTAAAGGTAAAGGTTTTCCGCTGACACTAAGTCCAGTTGCTTAAGCGGCTGAGGGGGAAAAGGAAAGGGCCTGAGGCTGTTAGGAATGGTGGGAGTTGGAGTCCAAAACACCTGGAGGGCCCAGGTTTGCCCATGCCTGGCTTAGAGGATTCAATTTGCATCTAGCAATTTATTACACCTGTAAGTGAGCCTTCTGTCCTCCGCAGATTTTAGCATCCCTGGCCATTTCACGATTTGTGTGGCACTAATTAGAGTAAAAGAAAATCTGGAGGACACCAGATTAGGTAACAGTGTTGACAGCACTGATAATAACCTCTTTATTCCTTTTCCCAGACTGGCAACAACAGGGTGATGCAACTGACAACATGAATGCATTCCCCAATATGAATGCTTGCTTTGAAGCCGCAGTCTCAATTTTGAGATACTCCAAGAAGAAGGACATACATGAAAATAAAGGTGGGACTGCATTTTTCAAAACCTCCAATATTTTCCCAGGAATGCTTGCAAAAGAGCTGAGATTTAGCAACTATATTTACATCTGCCTGATGGTTCAATGAAACACAAGTGAAATCTTTCAGGATGCTAACACAGAGTTGCATATGATTAATAATTAGAAAGAAGGCATTTGGAGGCAGGTATGATGATCAAAACACAGCCGAGTGCCATCTTTGTAATCCTGGTGCTGACTAGGGGTTTCTGGGAGATGTAGTCCAACACATCTGGATGCTATGGGATGAGGGAAGGGTGTTTTCTAGGTAGACCAAAACAGTGGGAAATTGAGCATTCATGGCATCCTTAGCTAGCAATTAAGATGCATATCACACTAGTTGATGGAGATTGTGCAACCTGATTCAGATGATGGTTTTCACATCTCTCTTTTCCCTTTTTTCACCCCCCTCCCCGTACAACTGTTCCTTCTTATCAGAAGCTAAAGAATAGATTTAAAACACTTCCACTCCTTTCTCTGGGCTCTCTTGGATGGGATGGGAGGGGTCGGTGCATCATCCATCACTTACAACAAGGAACAAGAAAGGAATCCCCACCCCCCATTCCAGCTTTAGATGAAGGAAGAGCAAGCAGGCACACACCAACATCCTCAATCCCACAAATCTCTGTATGCAACTAAAACCACAGGCATGCACACAGGGCGCGCATCACCTCTATACCAGAAATAAATGATTCCGGATGTGGATGATGATAGTATTGATAGTGTGGATGATGATGAAATATAGCGGTAATGATGGTGATGTGGATGATGGTGATAGCAGTGATTATAGTGGTGTGGATGATGCTTATAGTAGTGATGATGGTGTGGATTATGATGATAGCAGTGATTATAGTGGTGTGGATGACAGTGGTGGTGGTGGTGTGGATGATGATGATAGCACTGATGAGGATGGTGTGGATGATGATAATAGCAGTGATGATGGTAGTATGGATGATGATGATAGTGGTGATGATGATGGTGGTGTGGATGAGATAATGACAGCGGTGATGATGGTGGTGTGGATGATGATAGTAGTGATGATGGTGGTGTGGATGATGATGAAAGCGGTGATGATGGTGGTGTGGATGATGGTGATAGCAGTGATGATGGTGGTGTGGATGATGATGTTAGTGGTGATTATAGTGGTGTGGAGGATGATGGTGGTGGTGTGGATGATGATGATAGTTGTGATGAAGATAGTGTGGATTATGATAACATGGTGACGATGCTGGTATGGATGATGATGTTAGTGGTGATAATGGTAGTGTGGATGATGGTGATAGCAGTGATGATGGTGGTGTGGATGATGATGTTAGTGGTGATGGTGGTGTGTATGATGATGACAGCAGTGATGATGGTTGTGTGGATGATGATAATAGTGGTGATGGTGGTGGTGTGGATTATGATGTTAGTAGTGATGAGGGTGGTGTGGATGATGATGATAGAGGTGATGATGGTGGTGTGGATTACTATGACAGCGGTGATTATGGTGTTGTGGATGATGATAGTGGTGATGATGGTGGTTTGGATAATGATGATACTGGGGTGATGATGGTAGTGTGGATGATGATAATAGTAGTGATGATGATTGTAGCAGTGATGATGGTGGTGTGGATGATGATGATAGTAGTGATGATGATGACGATAAGGATGATGATAGTAATGATGATGGTGATGATGCTCAGCTCCACCACCTTTCTAGCTCTCCCATCGCAGTCTCCTCCTCCTTGACAAAGCAGCTTTAGAGAGAAAAAGGAAGGAAGGAAGGAAGGAAGGGAAGGAAGGAAGGGACCTTACCTTTCGGTGCTTTCGGGTGTCACTTGTCTCCAAGGCTTGGGCTTCCTTTCCCTCCCTTCTTCTACTCTCTTCTTCTCTCCTCCCCTCTTTCCCTTCTCTTTCTCTCCTCCTCTCCTGTCGAGCTACTAGCAGCCTTCTGGTGAACGTAAAAGGCAGGAGCTCCCTCCCTCCCCTGCCTCCCGACACAGACCCGCGTGCGTCTTGCTCTGACGTCAGGGGCGTGGGAGAGCCGCGGGTGGGAGAGCCGCGGGTGGGAGGGATGGGGACTCCTGCCTTCAAGAGAGCACGACCCAGCCCTCCCATCCTTCCTGCCTGGCCTTGCACCTTCCTCGCCTCAAAGCCAGTCCTGGCCTCAGGCAGTCAAGAGGGGGACAGTGGGCCCTTGGGGTTTGCTGGAGTTCAGTTCCAGGACCTCAAAATCCTTGTCCCATTATATACAATGACATATTAAAATAGTGTTCCTTTTATAAAATGACAGAATCAAGGTTTGCTTTTGGGGTTTGGATGAATCTGTGGATGCAGAATCTGTGGATAAGGAGAGCCAGCTATACTCTGAAAAGCCGGCAATTGATAGTTATGTTATTCTACCTGATCCTTATGGTGTTGGACTTCCAATAAGGCCAGAGAGATATTGAGCTCCCTCTTGGGTAGGAAATAATTTCCAGGGATATGCAAGTCTGGGCCCACCAAGTGTTTTGGACTTCAACTCCCATCATTCCTAACAGCCTCAGGCTCTTTCCTTAAACGGCTGAGGGGGGAAAGGAAGGGGCCTGAGGCTGTTAGGAATGATGGGAGTTGAAGTTCAAAACACTTGGAGGGACCAAGTTTGTCCATGCCTGGTTTACACTCTGTGGATTCCTCATGAGGTAAGTCCTTGTGGTGTTTCTTCTGTTCGCCCCAGACAGTGAAGCTTCAGCCCTCCAGGTGCTACTCAAATGCAATTCTTGCTCAAGCATAATCCTTGATCCTCCTGGAGCTGATGGGAGTTGGAGTCTGTAAACATCTGGAGGTCCACAAGTTGTGCAAACCCTGCTTTAAGTCCTAACCACTGAGCCAGCAATAGTGGGTAATCTTTGCACCAGCCCACCCAAACTCAGCCTTTGTTTACCATCTCAGGCTATTGGTTGTTTGTTCAATAGTTGCTTTATGTTGTTGTTGTTTTATGGTGTTTTATAAATTTTACTGTGTTATATTTTAACTATGTTTGACTGGGCTTGTCCTCATATAAGCCATCCCAAGTTCCTTTGTGGAGATGGTGGTGGGATACAAAAATAAAGTAGGTGTTTTTGTTGTTGTTATTATTATTGTGATTCAATAGGGATTTTAATCTGGCTGTCTCTGCTCTTATGATGCATTCCCATTGTAGAATTAGGCAAGTTTGGCACCACTCTAACTGCCATGGCTCAATGCTACAGAATTTTGGTATTTGCAGTTTGGTTGGACCCCAGCGCTCTTACAGAAAATGCAAAAACCTTGTAAAACTACATCTCCCATGATTCCATAGCACTGGCCCATGACATTTAAAGTGGTGTCAAATTGCATTCATTCTACATTGTACATCAATGGTTTCCAACCTGTGGTCCACAAGAACTAAATTATGATCCGCAGCCTCACAGTTACTACAAGAGCGACATCCCTCTTATAATGCCAAGGCTTACTAAATATGGTTTTCTGTGGGTGACGAGATGATGTCTAAGGTAAAGTTTTCCCCCTGACATTAAGTCCAGTCATATCCGACTCTGGGGGTTGGTGCTCATCTCCAGACCATTTCTAAACCAAAGAGCTGGCGTTGTCCGTTGACACCTCCAAGGCCATGTGGCTGGTATGACTGCAAGGAGCACCATTACCTTCCCGCCGGAGTAGTACCTATTGATCTACTCACATTTAAATGTTTTTGAACTGCTAGGTTGGCAGAAGCTGGGGCTAACAGTGGGAACCCACACTGCTCATCATATTAAAACCTGCAAACTTTTGATCAGCAAGCTCAGCAGCTCAGCGGTTTAACCCACTGTGCCACCAGGGTCTCCAGATGGTGACTTCTGGATGGTATATGTTCTGTACCAGAAACTAGAGCTGATGTGGCCTGTCCAATGCAATTTTCTGAATCAGAACACCAAATAACCAAACTGAATCTAAAAATGACCAAAAACTAATTCATAATCCTTTCAATACTAATGTGGGAGTGTGGTCCTTAGTTAAAAAAAAAAAAAAGGTTGGGAACCACTGATGTAGATGCACCCTAAGTCCAAATACCCATTTCCTCATCAAACTACAAATCCTAGGATTCCATAGCATTGAGCCATGGCAGTTAAAGTGGTGCCCAACGGCATTAATTTGATAAGCACGTTATTCTTATGATGGGGAGAAATGTTTGTTGGCTTTCCTGAGTGCTATGGCAAAATAACTTGGCAAGCTGTGGAAACTAGGCACTTGCTGCGGATGAGTGGTACTGTTTGCTGCTCCGCCTTGGGCAGCAAAATGTGTTGGTCCAGAGCCATAGGACTCTAGGCCACTCGAGGACATCCCTTAGAGAGGGACCTTTTTAGTGCCAAATATATGGTAGATCCAGGGAGGCATCAATATTATTGTTATGTTTATAGAATCATAGAATCATTGAGTTAGAAGAGACCTCGTGGGCCATCCAGTCCAACCCCCTTCCAAGAAGCAGGAAAATCTCATTCAAAGCACCCCTGACAGATGGCCATCCAGTCTCTGCTTAAAAGCCTCCAAAGAAGTAACCTCGACCACACTCCGGAGCAGAGAGTTCCACTGCTGAACGGCTCTCACAGTCAGGAGAGCATAAATATTATTATTGTGATGTTTATGTATACTCCACAAAGGAGACTCAAAGCAGCTTATATTAAAGCATTTCAGTATAATATAAAATCCATAAATATGGAGTAGTCGTGGTAAGGGCATTCCACTTCAATAAGAATTCTGACCCTCTCTAATTAAATTAAAATTTCCTGCAAGTTCCAGATTTCTTGTATAGCAATGAACATTAATTGAACATTGAGAACTACAGTTTAGGTGCCCAAAGAAAAGGGGCAGACCAAATGACCAAGGAAAAAGGAAGGTCACAAAGGTAAATAGTTCTGAGTCTCTGCAATGCTAGAAATTCAGGAACTCAAGGAAAATTGTATTTGGGGAGCATAACCTTTAACAAGCCCCCCCCCCCCGGTGGTGCAATGGGTTAAACCACTGAGCTGTTGAACTTGCTGACCAAATGGTTGGCAGTTCAAATCTAGGGAGCAGGGTGAGCTCCCACTGTTAGCTCCAGCTTCTGCCAATCTAGCAGTTCGAAAACATGCAAATGTGAGTAGATCAATAGGTTCTGCTTATGCGGGAAGGTAACGGTACTCCATGCAGTCGTGGTGGCCACATGATCTTGGAGGTGTCTACAGACAATGCCGGCTCTTCAGCTTACAAATAGAGATGAGCACCACCGTTCAGAGTCAGACATGACTGGACATAAAGTAGACATGGCAAAGCACCATGAAGTGCATAGGAGAGAAGCACCAATGGCTGGAACCAATGATTGGAAGCAAACCTGTCAACAAATGTTACTCCTCACATCCTTAAGGGGCCACGTGGCCATTATTTCCACTTGCCGATGCTTCCAAATCATGTTCAAAGGCAGATCCATATGGAAAAGAGAAAAGCAGTAAAGCTCTGCCTGAGTTATACAAATCAGCTGTGGTTTGGACATCATTAACGGCAGAGAAGAGGGCTATCATGCCTTCACTATTTATGTAGGAATGCGATTTAAGCAGGAAGTGCAGTTGGTCCTATAATTCGATGGGGAAAGGCGGTGTCTGCTGAAATGCTCTGTTTTCCCCCAGCTGCTCTCCCCTTTTTCGCCTCAGGTTACCTGCAAGTAATTTCTTTCAAGCAAGGCTTAAAGTTCTTTTCTTTGACCCACTTTAATGTCCCCAGAGACAGCGCAGAGCATCTGTTAATTCCAAAGTGCTGGTTATTTTCCAGCAGTGCATCACTTGAAGTGCTTCTATAAAACTAGTTTGAACTTCAAGCTGCTAAAACATTTGGTTCCTACTGATACCAGAAGAGGAAAAATAGGTATTTTTAGACTGCAGCTCCTATTGAACCAAGCCAGCATAACATGGACTGATGGGAAATGCAATGTAAGAAAATCTGGAGTGACATCTGTTCTCTGTCCTTGCTTTAAGCTTTTATATTTTTGTATTTTTCTTAAATATTAAGTATTGGTTGGGTTCGGATATTAATCAATTTCTCCTAATATTAGCTACAGGCCCTTCCACACAGCCCTATATCCCAGAATATCAAGGCCGGAAATCCCACAATATCTGCTTTGAACTGGGTTATCTGAGTCCACACTCAGATAATGTGGGATTTTCTGCCTTGATATTCTGGGATAGAGGACTGTATGGAAGGGCCCTACATGAAAGTGTATACTGTAATTAGTGGCTGGTGCGCTTTAGTTTTTACCCAGTTTGAGTCCCTAGGTATTATTGAACGACAACTCCCATCACTTCTGATTATCGGCCTTGCAGACTGGGGATAATGGGAATTGCAACCCAACAGCACTTGAGGCTGTGAGGTTGCAGGAAGGGCAAAGACCAGTTTAAAGTCAGACATCATATCCACAGGCCTTGTCTCCGAAACCAAACCCCAACAGAACAAACTGCAGCTTTTCAGATTACTACAGCTCCCATCAGCACCATCCAAGAGAGCCAAAGAAGACCTTCAGATCAAGACTGGGGAGAGAGGAGGGCTGAGGGCCTGGAAGGAGGGCCTAGTAGGGTGCATCGTGATGCTGCTACTAGACCATGAGGTATAGCACAGGGTTTAGCACAACTGGTAAATCGCCAATAATTATAAGATCTACCGACCGAAAGTTTGCAGTTCGAAGCCCCAGGTCAATGTGAGCTGCCGACTGTCAAGCCCAGCTTACTGTTGACCTAAGCAGTTCGAAAACAGCTTGTGTTGTAATTAGAAAAATTAGCTACCGCTAAAACAAGTGGAGGAGGTATTTTACAACATCACAAAGAAAAGAGATTAGAAAATGCCAGGCGACCAAAAGGAAGGAGGAAGTCCTGATGGCTCTTTATCATAGAGCATGGAGTGACATCACCCCCTGTAGCTGGATTTTGAGCACAACCTTCCAAGGCGCCAAAAAGCTGGACTGTGATGTCAACGCAACATACCTCCTTCTGTTTTGTCTATCTCTGTATTGTCTATCCAAAACGGCACTGAATGTTTGCCATGTATGTGTACTGTGATCCACCCTGAGTGCCCTTGGGGAGATAGGACAGAATATAAACAAAGTGTTGTTGTTGTTATCATTATTACTTGAGAAACGCCACTATGCAAGTTTGGCGAGTGAAAGAAAAGCAGTCTAACATCCTATCACGACACATAAATGAAGCAGCCGAATTATGATTAAAGGATTGGTGCAATGCGTTATTTGTGTAATAGGGCTGTTATGTTTTAATATGTTTAGTGGTTTTTAATTGTATTTATCTTTCTATTGATTCTAGTGATTTTATGGTAGGTGATGGAGCCCCCGGTGGCACAATGGGTTAAACCCATATGCTGGCAGGACTGAAGGTTGAAGGTTCAAATCCTGAGAGAGTGCAGATGAGCTCCCTCTGTCAGCCCCAGCTCCCCATTCAGGGACATGAGAGAAGCCTCCCACAAGGATGGTAAAACATCAAACATCCGGGCATCCCCTGGGCAATGTCCTTGCAAATGGCCAATTCTCTCACACCAGAAGCAACTTGCAGTTTCTCAAGTCACTCCTGACACGAAAATAAATAAATATGGTACGTTTTATTTGGTTTGTATAATGAGGCATTGAATTTTGTTGTACACCACTCTGAGTCCCCTATGGATGAGAATAGCAGGATAGAAATGAAGTAAATAATAAATCAGCTCTAAATATGATGTCTAAGGATGAGAAATACAGGAGCTGTAGTCCAGCATCTGGAGGGTCTCATAAAATGACATAGTGGGCCAAATTTGGACCATAGACCTTGAGTTTAACACATGTGGTGGGCATTGTTGTTCTGGTGACTATAAAGCAAAGGGTTTTACAGTTAGTACTGCAAGGCCTGGGGGAATCTTTTGTTGAGAGGTGATTAGCTGTCCCTGATTGTTTCTTGTCTGGAGTTCCCCTGTTTTTGAATGTTGTTCTTTATTTACTGTTATGGTTTTAGAGTGGCAGCTAGATTTTATTCATTTTCATAGTTTCCTCCTTTCTGTTGAAATTGTCTACATGCAACTGATTTTTGCACATCTACACTGAGAGGATAAACCTACAGATCTCAATCTTTTTTAAAAAACAAATCTGCAGTAGAGTTGGAAATGGTCAGTCAACACTCATCTAAATTCAATTAGTTCAATGTAAAGGGCTGGACAGCTACCTGCTGGGGATGCTGCACTTGGAGATAATTTTGGCAGAAGGAAGTGCCATATCCTGTGTGGCTCTGATGATCTCCCAGGCTTTATCTTGGCAGCATGCTCTCCCAGTCGCTTGCATTCATCACTACCGTGCTTTTTCCTCCTTTGCATCTGTTATTACGATTTCTCGCAGCGGCTTCAATTAGGGAAGATTGCTAGGCACCACATAACACAAAGGGAGGCTGGCCAATGTGCCAGGATGTTCACGCTCACAAGGGACTGGAGCAGAGACATGAATGTCAATACCTTCTGTGGGGCGGAGGGGGAACGGTTGAGGACTGGTGGACCCTCCATCAAAGGGAATCAAGCATTGCCTCCTTTTGTGAGGCTGAGCAACTGCCCTCCCCCCTTTTTATCACCATATTTTATGCATCACCAATGAGAAACGTTAATTATGTGAAAGAAAGAAAAAACAAATCCTTCCATCCCTCAACACAGGCCAAGATAAAAAATAATAAGATGGTATATTTTTGGAAAGCTAAAGATGGGTGACCACGGGATTTTGTTTTCCATTTGTGCCTAAATGGAAACAGAAATCAGACAAAGGTTCAAATGCAATTAGTTACAGCTTCTTTGTAAATTAGGTTTCAATGCACTCAGGGACTAAATGGATTAACTGCAACATTATCAAGATTTTGCATATATAAATGTGATTTTCTTTATATAAAAAAGCTATATAGGACTGACTTCCAGGTATGTGGTTGCACATTTACATTATGCCCCTGAGTTCTGGAAAATCATGTGTGCTGGCAGATGGCTAGAAGGCAAGACCCAAAAAAATACCTAGAATTGCATATTCATTTTACTCTAGAGCACTTTTTATAGCACTTCTACTCTTAAATTCCCAACGATGCTCAGAATAAACAAACAGGACAAATCCCAGCACCTAAGAGCTCTTCCAGACAGGCCCAATATCCCATGATCTAATCCCAGGTTTTCTGATTATCTGGCAGTGTGGACTCATATAATCCAGTTTAAAACAGAAAACCTGGGATCAGATCCTAGGATATAGGGCTTGTCTGGAAGGGCCCTAAGTTCTATTGCTATTCTTAAGTAGAGCTCCTCTATTTAATAATTGCAATTTACACCATTGTTGTTGTTGTTGTTGTTTGCTGTCAATTTCCACAGTCATAACTCTCTCTGCTCAGGTCTTGTAAACTCAAATCCATGGCTTCCTTGACCAAGTAAATCCTACCTGTCTTGTAGTTCCCCCTCTTTTCCTTCACCCTTCCACTTTATGGTCTTTGTGTCTTTGTGTTGTCAAAGGCTTTCATGGCTGAAATTACTGGGTTGCTGTGAGTTTTCCAGGCTGTATGACCTTGTTCCAGAAGCATTCTCCCCTGAGAATAACCTCAGAGATTATGAGGATGCCTGCCATAGATGTGGGTGAAACATCAGGAGAGAATGCTTCTGAAACATAGCCATACAGCCCGGAAAACTCACAGCAACCCATTATTGTCTTGGGTTGCTCTGAGTTTTCTGGGCTGTATGGCTATGTTCCAGAAGCATTCTCCCCTGATGTTTCCCCCACATCTATGGCACGTATCCCCAGAGGTTGTGAGGATGCCTACCATAGATGTGGGTGAAACGTAAGGAGAAAATGCTTCTGAAACATGGCCATACAACCTGGAAAACTCACAGCAAGCCATTATTGTCTTGGGTTGCTGTGCTTTTTTCGGGCTGTATGGCCATGCTCCAGAAGCATACTCCCCTGACGTTTCACCCACATCTATGGCAGGCATCCCCAGAGGTTGTGAGGTCTTTTTGGAAACTAGGCAAGTGAGGTTTATATATCTGTGGAATAATGTCGAGGGTGGGAGAAAGAACTCTTGTCTGTTTGTGGCAGGTGTAAATGTTACAATTGACTGCCTTGATTAGCATTGAATGGCCTTGCAGCTTCAAAGCCTGGCCGCTTCCTTCCTTTGTTGGGAGGTGTTAGCTGGCCCTGATTGTTTCTTGTCTGGAATTCCCCTGTTTTCTGAGTGTTGCAATTTTCCACATTGATGAGCATTTAATGACCTTGCAGTTATTGTCTTTTCCAATGATTTATGTTGTCTTGTGATATATTCAAAGTACAACAGCCTTCGTTTATTTACCTTTGCTTATAATGAAAGTTGGGGCTTGATTCACTCTAAAACCCATGTATTTGGTTTTGACTCTGTCTGTCGTATCTATAGACTTCCATAGAACTTTCCGGGTAATTTTCCTCCTGTTCACTTACTGTCCAGCGGCAGATGACTCGGCTTTCACATCTTTTAAAGGTATATTATATTGTATATTTTATATATAATATATATTATAATTTATACTACATATTATGTTTAACAAGGGAAATCAAGCAAGAGAAGCTGTGTGTGCTTGACCTTAATTTATCCCACCTCCACCCCGCATACTATTCCCACCACTGTCCTATTTGCTCAAATTACAGGTCTAAACAAATCTATTCCTGGTCTGTCCAAGTTGCAGAATCATTAAACATGACTCAGCAGCCGGAACTCATCACTTTCCTGCTTTATACACGATCAGCTGTGCAACTGCCAGGAATATTTGCTGAGATG